TCTTAAGCTGTCTGATTCAAGACAGGCATAACTCACTTTGAAAATAAAGTTACCAGGTGAACAGTTATAATATGCTCGGGGAAAATACCAAGGAACGATTCTCTCTATAGATGGTAGAATCAATTGACATTTTGTATCTTTTCTAGAGAAAGCTGTATATATCTTAAGAACTAAAATTTTATTATCCACATTTAAAGTAAACCCTTTCCAACAAAAATTGTCACATTGGGCATTATAGACTCATATCTTTAACAACTTGAGGGCAGTATAATTTAGTAGCTAAGATCGTGAGTCCTGAAATAAGACTAGTTTGTGTTCTTCTACCATCACGTCTAGCTATATAATCTTAGAGAAGTTTTTATTCCATCCTTATAGCTGTTTCTCTGTTTAAAAATGGAACAATACAATATAGGTTTAGAAGGATGTGATGATAATGATAAAAATAGCACAAAAACAAAACAGCAGGATTAGCATAGTTGAGCGAAGGACATGGGCTTTGATAACATACAGACGGGATTTAAACGTATTTCTGTTATATTTCAGAAATGTTTTTATTCACTTCATTTAGAAAGTGTAATAATTGGAGTCCTAACTAAATGTCAGCATTGGGGTGCCAGATTCAGGGTTACATCAATTAAATAAGTCAGACACTGAGCTCACATCTATGTAATAAAGATTACAAACAACACTCAAATTATTCCCATATTTTTGCTGATAATTCCACTTCAATAATCTTAGGAAAAGTTAAATATAACAAGCTGAATGCACAAGATGTTAATTACAGCACTAATAATTTAAATATTGAAAACCACATCAATAATAGGCAACTGGGTAAACGAACCTTGGTCATTCGTATAAAATTATAAACCATCAGGAACTATATTAATAAAAAGTTATAAAATACAAAAGAATACTTATAGCTTAAGTAAAAAAAGGAATGAACCATCATGATCACGTCAGTGTAACATAAATAATAAAGCAACATTAGGCATTATAATTAAGGACAAAAGAATCATTTAAAATATCACGAGGGTTGTCCTTGGGTGCTGCTACACGATTTGGTTTCTGGTTTTGTTTTGCTTCTTTCGTAATTCTATACTTTTCAATATATATAATATCCAAATTATATATAATGTCCAATTATATAATAATATCCAAATGTAAAAGAATAATCCTAAATAAGTATTACTAATGACTAATAGTTATAATAATAATAATAATTTAATTGATTTTTAAAACCGAGTCAAAACAAGGGATGACTTTGGCAAGTGAGGAGCAAATTATGGGAATAAAGACATTGAAATAAATATTGAGGTAAAACATAATTTGGTATTGTCCAACCATTACTACATAAATGTCTAAATATTTCTTCCATTTTTGAACATTATTACCAGATGCTCTTCCAAGAGACCTTGCACTGGTACAATTAATATTGACATTCAAAGAATGGTTGATGGAGATGACAGGACTAATACCAGCGAGCACTGAGTTTAACCAATACTGGCAGAGAGAGAAGTACTTCTTCCACTGAACTATGAACCAGCCGTTATACCCTCTCTCATCCAATGTGCAAGAAATAAAATAAGTGCATGACAGCATAGTGAAAGTTTAGACTAAAAGATAGGCAGGTCTCAAAGAGATTTTATTGATACTAACACTGCATAGTATTAATAAAAGGAGAGTCCCTAGGGTTAAACTCTGGTTTCTAAGCTGAATTGTCTGATTCTTCTGAAGGTCACCTAACCTTTCTGAGCCTTGTTTTTGTCATGTATGAAATAACACTTACCTTAAAACAATGCTTTGATGATGAAAAAGAAGTACCACACAGGAAGCATTTAGCGTGTTCTATGGCCACTAGGGTAGCACTAGTCAAGGGTCTAGCCATAAAGGTAGAATACAGTGGATTCTCCAGGTGGCCTTTAACATTACCTTGAATGATGATAGAAATTAGAGCAAGATAAACCACATGGCACAGTCTTTGAGAAATGAGAACAGGACCTCTAAAGTAAGTAGGTTGTAGTCTGCACATTGCAATTAAATTAATGCAAACATTGTCATTTTCAAATGTGGAATCAAATTAGGTAGAGGTACCTCAGACTATTTAAATCAAGACGCCCACAAAATAAGTCCACGCACTTAATACAAAATTATTTTTTTTCTATCTTTCATTTTCTTTGCACATGAACAGCGCAGATATTTTTTGTAATTTATTTGTGAACTGGGGTTTTCTCTGATTTTTAACAACTCATTTTTTGTTTTTTAATGTTTGGATCAATATTGGACTCATCTAAACAGTCTGGTCATGTGATAACCAGCTAAAGCTGGAGTTCTTGTTTCCGAATTTAAAACATATTTCCAAAAAATGAATTTCTAATTGACAAATAAGAGTTTATTCTTATTGGTTCTAATTATTTGAAGTAATAATAGGAATTTCTAATGGAAACGGGAAAAGGGAAAGGAGAGAGAAAGGAAAAAAGGCATTCTCAACAAAATGACCAGACGGAAGAAGGGCAAAAATGAGTGAAAGTTGCAGATATAACATAAAATACATATGAAAAGAGTTATTCTCTATTTGTTATTGCAATTGATTCACACTTACCTTGTTAAAATATTAAATTTTGAATAACTTCATAAGGGCAACTTAAATTACCCAACTGGCTGTTATCTTTCCTGTAAAATAATCCTGACTTTTCATGTGTTGAGTTTTTGTTTTTTGGGTTTTTTTGGTTTTTGGTTTTTGTTGTTTTGAGATTGAGTCTCTCTCTGTTGGCCAAGCTGGAGTGAGTGGGTGCAATCTCAGCTCAACTGTAACTCCTTGCCTTCCAGGTTCGAAGGATCTCTGCCTTCAGCTCCTGAGTGCTGAGACTACCCGCGCGCACCACCATACCGGTTTAATTTTTGTATTTTTATTAGAGACGGGGTTTCCACCATATTGGCTGGGGTGGTCTCGATCTCCTGACTCGTGATCCACCTGCTTTGGGCCTGCTCATGGTACTGGGATTACAGGCATGAGCCACGCGGCCGGCCTGAGTTGGTTTTTTATATTGCTGACTACTCTGGGTACTGTAGTTAATAAAGATTTACAATTATATAGGGGCTTGAGTCATCACTACCTGTAGACCCAAAGTTTCTCTAGTGATTTTCAGAAACCAACACATGGGCTTCTTCTCTTTTTTTCTTTTTCTTCTCTCCTCTCTCTCCTTATTTTCTTCCTTACTATCTTCCTTCCTCCTAATTTACTTCCTTCTTTTTTCTTTCCTCCTTCTTCACATTTTTAATTTACAAATTCTTTCTTTTTCATCATTTATTCAAAACCATTTACCAGATTAAATTATATAAGAGGCTGATAATAAATAGAAAATAAGAAAACTCCACTTGATTAACAACAGAAGACACTGCTAAGCAGCGTGATGTTTTTCTATTTGTATAAGAGTTGTTGAAAGAAAAGACCTGCATGGGGGAAATAGTAGGCCTCAAGGAGAATTGCTGGAAGCATGAATAAGATTTTACCATTGAAATAAAGGCAAGCATATGTGAAAGGAAGAAAATAAAGACATGGAGGAGAGAACACAAAGGATCAACTATATTGCCTGACCTTTCATCTTTCCTTCTTCTCTCCTTTAATATTTTTCTAAATAATGACATGGAAAGATTAATTGGTTTTAATAATGTAATACTATCTGTAATTTTTTTTTTTTTGAGAGAGGGTCTCACTCTGTCACTCAGGCTGGAGTGCAGTGGCACAACCACCACCCACCTCCCTGGTTGAGCAGCCTCAACCTCCCTGGCTCAAGCCATCCTCCCAACTCAGCCTCCGGAGTAGCTAAGATTACAGGCAAAAGCCCCCATGCATGCCTAATTTTTGTATTTTTTGTAGAGATGGAGTTCCACCATGTTGCTCAGGCTTGTCTCAAACTCCTGGACTCTAGCGATCCACCCGCCTCCGCCTCCCAAAGTGCTGGGATTACAGGCGTGAGCTACCATGCCAGGCCCACTATTTGTAATTTTTAATACTACAAAACAAACTAAAATGGACTGCAGTCTAATATACAGAAGCTCCTATTTGCTTTGGGCTCTGACCATTACTCAGCTTGTATTCTGAAACTTTCATAATTTTAGAACCAACCGGAATTATATCAGGAATTCAAATTTGACCATAAAAAGTCAAGTTGTTTTGTTTTTTATTTGCACCAAGCGCTAATCTAGTATTACTATCCTTCCACCACCAGTGGTCCCATTTTTGATGATTTGTTGTGATTGTGGAGGTGCTCCTCGTAGTGCAGCTGGCTTTGAGCCTGTTCCTGAATGTTCAGATGGAGCAATTCATTCATGGGCAGTAGAAGGACCACAGCCTGAACCCGGGGTAAGTGCCACATTCTAATAAATAGCCTTTGGTAGTCACTGAAATTCAGTCTTTCCACATGAACCAAGATGGCCGCCATCACTCACAGTCTATGCTGTTTTTCGTGCTGAGAAATCTAATGGGGAAAATGAAGAGGAATCAAAAGCACAACAAAATTAGATGGAAGTAACCAGGGAGGGTTTTCTAAGTGAAGTTCAAATTTTAAATGGATTTCAGCATTTCCTAAATAGTTTTTTTTTTTTTTCTGGAAACCTGAGGTAATTTGAGAATAAACCAAATGTGTGACTATAGAAAGATTACAGTCATTGGTCATTACAAATGGCAATGTTGTTTCCTGTCTTTTAGGTTATGACCACCATCATACCACAAATACCACCTGATAATGCAAATATAATTGAATGCATTGACAACTCAGGTAAGAAAAAAAAATTGTTTAACAACTCAAATGATTAGGAAGTCTGTTTTCTCTCTTTGCATATTGTTGTTTGATGGTCTTATTTTTCTTCAAAAGTGTTTATATCATTCTTTTTTAAATGACTAATTTGTAAATTAAATGGCAAGGAAAAACCTACAGTAATTATTATTCTTATATGCTGCATTTTAAAAATTTTCCTCAACCGTCAAAGAGTACTTAGAAGATGACCAAATTGGGATCTCTATATATGCAGAAGTACTGAATTATAACCATGAGTAAGTTTTAGTCAAGATTTTTAATTTAATAGAGCAAATTTCATTAACAGACATAGATACACATATTTCATACACATATATACACTAATTCAAATTAAAGCACAACCCAACTAAAATAGACCTGTGCTCATTGATTGAGGCTAAAATCTTTATACACAATTAATTTAAGGATTCAGAATTGCTTTGACGTTAGCTGCTTATTATAACATAGAAAAAAATTACATCCGTTTTCAGTATCATCACAAATATTACCTAAAAAATATTTGTCCAATTTCTTTAATTCAAAGCAAGTAGATGAAACACTATCAAAATCTTTCAAAGCTCTCAACTGAGATTGTGTGCACATGGTGGAGTTTCTTCTAGCACATGGGTAAGACTGTATAAATACAACTTGCCTTAAAACAGGAATCTAGACCAGTTCACAGGCAGAAACCAGGGAACAATTAGAATTTCACAGTAAGTGGATAACTACCACTATAATAAAAGAACAATTAAAATAACATCCATATCTGTGAAAATAGTTGTATCACATTACATTTCTCAAGGTAAATAAATATTATTGGTTAGCTTATTTTTCTCTTAGTCTTTTTAAACAGTAACCATTGTTTTCTACTTTAAACTCTAACAGGCATAGACATGTGTATAACTTGTAGAACTGGAACTTATTCAAAGAATTGGACACAGTAATCTTTAAATCTATTTCTCCACCTGATTTGTCCATTTTCATTAACAACCCCAATGTCTTCTCACCTCAAAAGCAGAATCTCATTGTTGACTCACATTCACTAACATCAAAACAGTTCTCAAGACTTATCAAATCATCAAATCCATCAGTATTTATCTACACATTTGTTCCCATTAAGTCTACAAACTTTTGCACAGATTTTGAACAAAGCACCATAAGAGGTACCAAGGACAATTGAAGCATGAAAAGCACACTGTTCCCAAACTCAGGATCCTTCACGTACTAAAACCAGTGGATACATATCCCACTGACAACATTCATCATTCCATAGCAGTTCCACGGTCCCAGTCATCATTTTATCTCACCTACCTCAAATATTTCTTTTTATTTTTTTTAATTTAAAAAAGATGAAACACTTGACCAATTTGTGTATCATCCTGTGCAGGGGCAATGCTAATCTTCTCTGTATAGTTCTAATTTTAGTATATGTGCTACTGAAGCAAGTATCTACCTCAAATACAGTAACAGGCTTCCACTTACTCCTCACATCCAAGTGCAAACCCAAGATTCTTCATGAAAACCTTTCTCCTCACATAGCCATGGCTTCCTTTCTGAAAGCCAGTGGTTCTCATGTCTTTTTCTGGATGTCCTGTGCTTCTAGTTACACATTGGGGCATTCTTACACTATTTTGTTAACTTTCAGAATTTGAGTATTTTTCTTCCAATTTCCTTCAGGTTGAAATCAAACTCTTTAGGGCATAGATTTTTATAAGTCCTCTGCAGCCTTCATTTCCAGCAGAGAATATAGTAATCTCTCAACAGATAATTATCAAATTAACAAATTAATAATATTATTTTGAGCTCAATATTGTATTTATATCTCATTTCTTTATGTATTATCTTTTTATTTCTTTGTTCACAAATGCATACCTAAATGAAAAAATCATGTATTATAAGGCAAGTTGTTAATTTTTTAGTTTGTGATAGACTAAAGAAAATAAACTTAATTTGATCAACACTTTTAGGAGTTTATACAAATGAGTATGGTGGCAGAGAAATGCAAGATCTGGGAGGAGGAGAGAGAATGACAGGATTTGAACTAACAGAGGGAGTTAAAACTTCAGGAATGCCTGAGATATGTCAAGAATACTCTGGAACATTAAGAAGAAATTCTATGAGGGAATGTAGAGAAGGAGGTCTGAATATGAATTTCATGGAAAGCTACTTCTGTCAGGTAAGGTCCCTAGCCACATGTCTTTCTCGCCATCCATGTGCCCGCTGCTCTTCACCCCAAGCTTTCACTAATTCCTAAAGGGGCTTGGGCAAGAGTCTCCTAACTAGATTCTCAGCCTTTGTGTCCAACAATCCAGGCTGTTAATTAATTATAGATCTAAAGCTCTGACCTGAGCACTTTACTCCCCAACTTAAGAACAGCCAATGGCTCTCAGCTCTCTTTTGTTCATGGCATGCAATCCAAAGTCCTTAACATGTTAATTAAGATTGTTCACAAAATGAACCCTCCCTCTCATCTCCAATTACTCCTTGCCATCAACTCCACTTGCTGAGCATCTTTGCCACAGACTTTTCATCTCCATGCGTTTGCTCATCCTGTGCTTGCATCCTGTAATGCTTGCATCCCACTATGTCTCTCACAAACTCCTACCCATTCTTCAAGGCCCAGTCCAAATATCACTCTTCCTCCAAAGTTTTTACAGTGAACCCTCTCATCCAAAATAGGAGTAATGTTTTCTCATCTCTATTTCTGCAGTACTTTGTTTACACATTTATAGAACCTATCATTGCTGAAATCTGTCAGTTTATATGTTTACCACCACTTTTAGTGTCTCATCCATATGTTCTCTACATTATATTGCCAGTACACAGTTCAGCTCTAGACACAGAGTCAATAGTTAATAAGAGTGGGGTCAAGAGCCATAGTCTACTTCCAAAACATTGTAAGAACGAGCTGCAGGTGGTGGGAAGAGCATGAAACCTGGAGAAGCAGCTGCAGGAGAATTAACTTTGCCATTCACAGGAAGAGATGTAATTGTCCATGGTTACACACCATATGATACTCAACCTTCAGGAAGTTCCTGTCCCTGATACCAACTAGAAAAACATTTCTGTCCTTCTACATTCTGGCCTAAAATGGTTCATTAACTGACCTAGTGGTTGGTTTAAAGAGTGGCTGATGTTTTTAAATGAAATATTGGTAAAAGCCTTCATATGGCAATAGACAGTAATGAGGCTTGTTGATAACCATAGGAATACTTATTCATATATATAACAAAATATTTTATATTATGTTTTAATAACATAGAAATATCTTCCTTCCACTCTCTGATCAAATATCACTTTATCAGAGACCCCTTCCTTGATTACCCTATGTAAAAGAACAACACCCATCATTTTCTTTTTCTTTACCCTGCATCTGCCACCTCCTGACTGTAGGCTTCTGTATTGTCTGTCTCACTCAACCAAAATGTAAGCTCTGTGAGAGAAGAACTGTACCTGGTATTGTTCATTATGCATAGCTAAGTTCCAAACACAGAGTGTCTGGCAAATAGCAAAGGCTCAATAACTTTTTTTTATATGAATGGCACAATGAGTTGGTTTCCTATGAGATATTTCTGTTAACCTGAAAGTTTACAATCCACTATTATGAACAGCAAAGATGAAACAAAATCATATATGTCTTTGAACTTTTACTTTGAATTTAGAGAGATTATATTTTTTAAAAATGTCTTTGGTCACCTTTAATTTTGTAGGACAGACCCAGAGTCAAATTTTCCTGTTGCTCTGCTGAAAAAGCCATGTTGCAATAAAACTTCACAGAATCATCATATTCACTCCATCTGAACGAAAGAAACAAAATCCTGAGTGAACCCAAATCAACTATGAACTACCTTTTCCAGTCAAAAAACAAAACAACACATTTTTATGTCCTTCAAGTTCAGCATTTTTATATACCTCCCTCTAACTTTGTTATAAATAATTCATGTGTTTTTTTGTGTGTATGGTTTTATGTCCAAAGTACACAATTATAAATAAGTCCATCTAAGTAAATTTTTAAAATCACATTACTGGAATTACACTTAAAATAATTTTTAACCGAATTATTTCAAATAATTATAAAATGATTTTTAAAGCATCTCTAGTAGATGTTAGAATCTTGTTTTATTTCATTCCTCTTTGGAAATGCTCTGGAAGAAAAACTAATGATAAAGGCTGTTCTATTATTACTAAATATGCATTTATAGTTTCATTTTCTCTTTCTCCTATAAATTCAGAAAGCATATGCTTATGCAGATGAAGATGAAGGACGCCCATCCAATGACTGTTTGCTCATATATGACATCGAAGGTGTAGGTTCCCCTGCTGGCTCTGTGGGTTGCTGTAGCTTCATTGGAGAAGATCCGGATGACAGCTTCTTGGATACTCTGGGACCTAAATTTAAGAAGTTGGCAGACATCAGCCTAGGAAAAGAAATTGAATCATATCCAGACCCTGATCCTTTTTGGCCACCCCAAAGCACTGAACCAGTTTGCCTTCCTCAGGAAACAGAGCCCATTGTTAGTGGACACCCACCAATCTCCCCACATTTCGGCACTACCACAGTAATTTCTGAGAGCACCTATCCCTCGGGACCTGGTGTGCAGCATCCTAAGCCTATTCTCGATCCTCTGGGCTATGGTAATGTCACTGTGACCGAGTCTTACACCACCTCTGACACTCTGAAGCCCTCTGTGCACTTTCACGATAACCGACAAGCATCAAACGTGGTGGTGACAGAGAGAGTGGTCGGCCCAATCTCTGGCACTGATTTGCATGGAATGTTAGAGATGCCTGACTTGCGAGATGGGTCAAATGTCATAGTGACAGAAAGGGTAATAGCACCAAGCTCTAGTCTACCTGCCTCTCTGACTATTCATCATCCTAGAGAGTCTTCAAATGTGGTAGTGACAGAAAGAGTAATCCAACCAACTTCCGGCATGATAGGTAGTCTTAGTATGCACCCCGAGTTAACCAATGCCCACAATGTGATTGTGACAGAGAGGGTTGTTTCTGGTGCTGGCGTAACTGGAATTAGTGGCACCACTGGGATCAGCGGTGGCATAGGCAGCAGTGGCCTGGTTGGCACCAGCATGGGCGCTGGGGGTGGGGCCCTGAGTGGAGCTGGCATAAGTGGTGGTGGCATTGGCCTGAGCAGCTTGGGAGGGACAGCCACCATTGGCCACATGAGGAGTTCCTCTGACCATCACTTTAACCAAACCATTGGGTCCGCCTCCCCTAGCACAGCTCGAAGTCGAATCACAAAGTACAGTACCGTGCAATATAGCAAGTAGTCAGGACCCCAGCTCACTTTTTCATATCATTGTGGTTTAGATCCAATTCCCACCACTAAAAAACTAACAATGTGATTTATAACGCACAACTTCGTGCTCAGGTCATCTAGGAGCAAGGTGAGAAATCACAATGAGAAAAATAAATGGAAACACCGCTGCTAGGGGAGAGCTCTCCTTATCATTCGTAAACATTTTTCTTATATTAGGACTAAGGAACTAAAACTTGAGGCAGAGCCTTCTTTGTGCCTGAATGGCCTGTAGTCTATCTCCAGCATGTAACTGGCCTTACAACGGCAATTGGCATAATTCTCCTTGCTCTGTTTTGCTTTTCCATATAGCTTGAGCAAAATTTAAAAAGAACTAAATATGCAATATGTGTTCATGTCTGTGGGAAAAATCTAAAATGTGTGCCACATGCCCTCAGTTTCACAGATAACATAAATAAAAATTAAAAAAAAAAAATTTTCAAGTTTGACTACATAGTCAAGTCCACAAACCATCAAGCACTCCTCCTTAATTATTGCACTAGATAAAATAAATTTCAAATTAGGAAGTGTTTCCTAGGAGGAAAATTCCATTAGAGAGTGACAATAGGATGAGGTTTCTTCAGGGTAAACTAGCAGCGCCTGAGCCTGAATCTTAATTTGGGGTCTCAGTTAAATCTCCTGTGGAGTCAAGGATTCTTCTGATTCTAGTTTGTGTTTAGTGATAGATGTAATCTTGACGAATATTGCTTACTGGTGAGGTTGAGGAATATCACACTCACCTTTCCCTTTACCAATGTGGTTTTGACTTAAGAAAGCAAAACTTTCTAAGTTTACTTCTCGAATTGAAGCAAGTGAGGCCAGACATGGTTGTCATCACTAATGGTAAATGACCTTCCAAGTAAGCAAATGGGAACTGAACTGTGTTTTCAGGTTTTGTTTTTAGTACGTGATATTCATTCATATCCAGCTCTTTATTACATAGCTCTGAAGTTAAAATGATGTACATAGGCTGAGCTGTGGACAAGAAAAAAAGAAGCAGCTTGCAGTATGCTTAAGCTTTGGGGAATTTTTTTTTAAAGGGGATCTAAAAAAATGTTTTTAGAACATGTAAAATGTTTAATGGGGAAAGTTGGAAAAGAATTGTTTTGTAAAGTAATACCATGCTAATTATTCGCTTTTAGCACGTAAAGCAGTGGTTGCTTTAGCGAACCTCTGTTGCCCTTTTGCAGGGATCAATCAGGAACCTTTAACAGAGTTGACAATATTGTATTGATAAGAGTGAAATAATAATAGATAACCCCCTAATTTTTCTCACTAGTATAAATTTTAAATTCCTGATTTGATTTGTCAATAAGATCTGGGCTTATTTATGCTCTGATTTATAGGTAGTGTCCAAATTATACAGCATAACATATTTTTCTAGTTTCAAAATTTAGTAATGTCCTATTTATGATATACCATTTCTGTGTGTTTGCTATATAGTATTACCCAATTAAAAATCTCTAAAAAGAAAGCATTCTAAGGAAAAGGTAAATTTACTATTGCATGGTAGAGAAACTTTTTCCTTTCTTAAATACAATGTTACTATAAGCTCACTAAACTGAAACTCTATATGACAAAATAAAATTAGAATAAAAAATTTGCCCTGGAGTTGTGAATTATATACAACTTTTAAAGAATTTACCCCATTACTCAAATTTCCCAGGAAATTACAAGGCCAAAGAATATTCGACTTCCTACATTGGTCAAAAGGGGATAGGAGTGAATTATTTGAGCTAGAGCTGTTTTGCTCTGTGTAACAGCAGATAAGGCTAATATTTTAAAAGCCACAGTATACACCTTCTTTTAACTCATAGAATATGTAAAATTTTGATAGTCTGTAGTATGCCAAATGCAGAGGTATAAATAAAGTCATTCAAAGGGAGTCTTTTCTTTTTCTGCCACTTAGGGGGCTACATTAAGGATGGGTAATCTTTCCAGGAATAAAGTCAAAAAGTATTTATTAAAATATACTTGAGTATGCCTGGGTCCAGGAGTTTTAAGGAATAGAAATAATTATTAATGAATTAACTAAGTAATTTATTAAAGGGAATGGTAGCTGACCACAGGAAACTTGCTTGCTGTTTTGATATGAAATATCATCACAAGCCTTTTCTTAAGACATCTGATATCTTCCAGAGATATTTTTTAGGTCGTCTTGCAAACAACAAAATCACTGTCTTTAATAACTGTTGCTGTTAAAATCCGATGGTTGTTAAGATCCCCCCAGTTTAGTTACATTTGAACTTCCAAACACTGTTAAACGATGGGAAAAAAACAAGAAAAAAACATAGCCATATGAGTCATCTATCTTTCTTGGAAGATACTTTCTAACCAAACTTTTCTTCCAGGATTGCACATTGATGGGAAAAACAAGAAAAATTGAAGTATCTATCTTTCTGGGAAGATACTTTCCAACCAATTTTTTCTTCCAGGGTTGCACATTGATTTTCCGTTTAGTCCTAAATTTTAAAATTACCTTTTTAAGACATCAATGATTTTAGTAGTTATTTAAAGGCATGTCATTTTTCAATGAACAAGCTTTGGACAGAACTTCATTCTTCTTTTTAGATATTTACTCTAGATCATATATATCATGTCATAGACCAAGAAGAGATATGGAAATCATTTTATAAGTGAATACTATAATTAGGATTCAAGTTGAGTTTCAGATCAACTTGCTCTTAACAAAATGAAGAAGAAAGAGGTAGTAATTTAATGCTATGTATGTATGGTTTGAAAACAAACCACAATGTTTATAAAATATCTATCTGGCTTTCTAAAGAGGTAGTCTTTAGTGGCAAAAATCAGTGTGTTATAAATACTTTACCATTTAATATCAACCAAAATAACATCTCGAGCTAATTTTGGTACTGAATTCCAGACACACCTGCTACATATTATTTACTTCTAAGTGTGTTGCCTGATGTAATTGTATTTGCACTGAAAAATCAAAACAAAAAGTACATATTTAGGCATATTTATATATCTTCATCTAGACATCTGTTCTACATTTGTGTATAAAGTTTTTAGCATCATAATTTTTATTCAAGAAAATGTTCTGACAAAATTTTAATTATATGTCTTCAAAAATTACGTTTTTTACTCTAGTAAGTAGATGTTTTTAGTAATCTAGGCAATTTATTTCTGAATTTATACCAATGTTTGATTGTCATGGTACAAAACATATGACACCTTTTGGCTTTTGCTGGAGTTGAAAGGCATTATAATCTTTACCATAAATACCCATGACTATTTTGGGAAGACATTTAAAACCCAAAACAAACTTTTAAAAGCATTTGCCACATTTTCCCATGCCTATTTCATAAATTCCAACTTTTTTTTTTTTTTAACAATTTCTGGTATTTTTTAAGACCCATTTCCCATTGTACTAGGATACAGCAGTCCACAGTAGAGTGCTACTCTCCTTGAAATCAGATCTGTCTTCCACTTCCAGATTATTCAATTTATGTTAGGACAAATCTTGACAAGATCAACCTATTATCCATCAAATAATTTTAAAACAATGTGTAATCTTGTTTAATTGTCTGCATTCTCTCCCCAGTTCAGCTGTATTTGAATTACTAAACACTTTATCATCAAACTGTACCTAGTCTAACTTATTTTTCTTTTGCTATCAGTTTTACAAGCATTTTAAAATTCTAATATTCATCTCTAGTGGTGTTTAAAACAAGGTTCTCTTATTCAAGTTTCAATATAAACGTTTTTGGATTATTTGGGTGCTAGTTTCTTGCTTGGTTATCTGTTGTTTTTTTTTTTTTTTAAGTTGACTTGTAATTTCCAAAGAGTTATGCATACAGCAATAAAATGATTAATATGCCTCCCTTATCTTTTCTGAATTGTAAGCAAGGGGAAGGTTTTAGATGGTAAAACCAAAGTTATCAAATCTAGTTATTATTATCATCCTGTATTGGAAGAGAGATAATTCTTTTATTTTCACAACGTTAAAATACGTTTTCATTCTCCATTTCCTAGCTGTCTTTTTTTAAAATGTGTACTGAGGAACCTACTCTCTGGACCACTAATTACAGATGCTAGAGCCCAGTCTTGACCAGGTGGTTAGCCCCACAAATGAGCAGATGATAAAAAGCTGCATTTTTAGTTTTTATTTGATACTTGTAGCATCTTTATACTTTTACCTTTCTTTCTTTCATACTCTGCATTTTTATTTTTGCATACACCAGCATTTTATTTCTTTTAAAGTGACTTTTCTTTTTTGACTTTTAAATCATACCCTTTCATCTTTACTGAGGTGCATGTCCTTTTGTTCTCCAATGCCACTTCCAGACTATTATCAACTTCATGGTGCACAAAATCTTACCTCTTTCAGACTCGTATGATCCTTTCCCTCTCTCCTCTTCATAATGTCTCCACTTTTAATGAAGCTTCCAATGTCCTGGCCTAAAGTCTTTTGTGACTTTATCAACTTCTGAAAGTGTTCATAGTAACTTAAACATCCACATGGATGAACCACCCAAGACCCGGATGCTCATTCTAAACCTCCATTTCCCCCCTCCACTCAGCTGCCATTTCCTTGTCATAACCTGGCATATTGGTACCTGGAATGCCTCAGTTTCTGCCTCTACAGCCTCTGACCATTTCCCTCTCATCCCTGCAGCTCATGGGCTCATGTTGTTGTCATTTCTCCACTTTATCAAAGCTTCAGTGTCTTGACTCTCACCACTTTCTCACTGTCAGCTTCACCTCTCTGTCTAATCTAGCTTCATGAGTACAACTAGAGTCACTTCTTTGTGAATGCCTTCAACCTACTTTCCCTGCTCTCTGTCTCTCGTCTCAGACCTTTCGCCCTCAATCTCCGTCTCCACACAAACAGCCAAACAAATTATCCAAGTGAGCTGACTTTTTAAATATTAAACACTCAATCTCAAATCTCAGCATAACATCAGATACTTCCCTGAAATCCTATCTGCTTCTCTTATAGATGTCCCATCTCATCATACTAGATTGCTACTCTGTGTCTTCCTTGTCCTCAAACCTCCCACACCCCCTCTTCCCTTCTCATTCTTTGTTGATGACCTAATCCTATTGTTCATTGAGAAATCAAAAGTCATCCATTTCAAATGCATTCATCTTCTTCTGTGAAACCTCCATATCCACTGGTACTTGCACCCATCTCGTCCCTCCCATGGGCTTATTCCATGGATTTGTGGCCTACTCATATGAAAACACAGTCCTCCAGTTCTGCTCAAATCAAGGACTTTGCTCCTTCCCTAATAGTACCTTTCCTATTCTTTTTCCTCTCTCTTTCTGTTTCCTCTCCTTCTCTCTCTTCTCTTTTATCTTCTCTCTTTCCTCTCTCATTCTCCCATCTTTTTTCTCTCATTCTCCCATCTTTTTTCTCTCTCCACTCTCTCTTTTTATCTCCTCTCTCTCATTCTCTTCCTGTCTCCTCTGTCTACTCTCTCTCTCTCCTCTCTTCCTTCCTTTCCTTCCTCTCAGTAGAACATTTTCATCTGCACCCCTCCTTGCAGCTAATGCCTCATTTGTTTGCTTGTTTCATCAAGCTTCTTGAGGTTCATGTACACATGCTGTCTTTTCTTTTCCATGTCCCATCAGACTTCAAAGTCCTCCCATCAGATTGTCATAATGGTCCTTATCAAGCTTGTCTAAGATCTATGCATTGCAAGCACAAGGCCCACTTTTCTGTTCTCCCTCTTTTTTAACCTCTGGGAAAAATCTTTAAAAAGTAACCCTTCTTTCTTCCTTGAAACACTCTTGTGTCTTGGCTTGTGTAACACCGTTCTCTCCTGATATCCCCTGTATTTCATCAGCCAGTCTTGCTCATTCTATTTCCCTTGTTTCTCATTTATCCAATCCAAAGTTTGGTCCCAAGCCCTCTTCTCTTAACATTTTACACTGATTCTGTGAGACCTCATCAAGACCCCTTTTTAAATGTTCAAAATTAAACTTATGATTTTACCTCCAGAGTTTCCCCATTCCAATAAATATTATCCCATCTACCCCTTACTCAAGCCATAAACTAAGGACTCCTTGATCTCATTCTTTCTCTCACTACCCAAATTTTATCCATTAGGAAGTTCTGTTTATTTTATAACCTATATATATATGAAGCCATTTAATAGTTTGTATTAGTCAATTACCACACTGCTATAAAGATACTACCTGATACGGGTAATTTGGAAAGGAAAGAGGTTTAATTGACTCACAGTTTGCATGGCTTGGGATGCCTCAGGAAACTTACAATCATGGCAGAAGGCGAAGGGGAAGCAAGGACCTTCTTCACATGCCAGCAGGAGAGAGAATTACAAGCAGGGGAAATGCCGATGCTAATAACACCATCAGATGTCATTAAAACTCACTTACTATCATGAGAACAGCATGGGGGAAACTGCCCCCACGATCCAATCACTTCCCTCCCTTGACATATGGGGATTATAATCCAAGATGAGATTTGGGTGGGGACACAGAGCCAAACCATTTAATAGTTGTAATCCTTATCTGTCACCATCCTACTGGCAACTGCCTCCTAGGTAGTCTCTCTGCTTCCACATCAACCTTCTGCAAACAATTTTGTATAGATGAACCTATGTAACCTTTCAAAATATTAA